GAGGGAATATATGCATTTTTTTCACACTGAAATGAATCACATTGGGGTGCTGCTGGATGTAAGCCAAGCTAATTGTAAAAGAAAATAATTAATTCCACAACCAAACAAGCACTACCAGTGTACGCTGTCACTGAGACATCCAGTGTCTCGAAGCCACAGGAAAAGACCCTTTCCCAGCTGTAAAGAATTGTTTTATTTTGGAAAATCTTCAAAAGAACATAGCGGGCAGCTAATTAATCAACATAATGAAGACAGCTGAGGATTCCTCAGCCAATGCTCATAAGCATTGATGAAGGAATCCATAATATTTTCTTCACTCAGCCCATAGGTTGAATGATGAAAATATTACAGTGTATGGTCAACTTAAGTGTTCGCCCGACATAGTATTGACCACAGGGACTCTAAATAACAACATTTTTTGAACAGTAAAAGAACAGATAGGCAGAGCCCGCTGTCAATCAGCCAGCGGGGCTGATATCGATATAAAAAGGTTACCCCATAGTTCTCTTGTAAGTGAATGTAATACTACAGAAAGCTGTCAGTGATTGCAGGTATGTAAGAGTAGATAGTCACAGACTATGTGCATGCTACAAGAAATGGTCAGGGAGTATGGGCATGCTACAAGAAATGGTCAGGGAGTATGGGCATGCTACAAGAAATGGTCAGGGAGTATGGGCATGCTAAAATAAATGGTCAGAGACTATGGGCGTGCTATAAGAGATAGTCAGAATCTGCAGACATGCTATAATAGATTGTCAGTTTTAAGGAGACTCAGGCTAGACCACCCCTGATCCTCTTATACTACCTTTCATCCCATGCGGGTTGGTATCAGAGCTCAGACAGTGTTGATGCTGTCACCCTCCACCCACCATCCTCCCCCTTCATGATAGTGTTCAGGGTTGGCAGCTGGCTGCACAGGCCCAGGCACTGCATCATGAGAGGAGGTCACATGCTACCCTATACCCAGAAAGACTGCATATTTCTTCAGGACTTAAAAGGAACAATGGGGCTGCAGGGGAGAGCGGTGAAGGGTAGTATAAATAGGTTGGATAGGTTGAACCTCACATAGCATAGGCTTTCCCAGGCACATTCTAGACACACAGAAAAAGGAAACGTCTTGTGTAAAAGAAGAATTTATTGGTAACATATCAGAACTGCACAAAGGACATCATTGTATCTGGCTTTCACACACACTGTAACCATCACTACATCATTACTGAGAGTTTTAGGCTTTCTTACTTTCTTTCTTATATAATTTGAAACAATTTGACATTTTGTAAGCACAACGGTTCAGCAGGGTTAGAATTAAGATGTTGTCCTATGGGAAAACCATTCTTAGGTCCCCTATTTTTCCCACCTCCATTCAAGATAATTCAACTTCCAAGACTTGCACCATATTAAAAGAATCAATAACACTAATATACACTAAGAGGGGAATTTATCAAAACTGGAGCAAACAAAATCTGGAGCAACTGTGCATGACAACCAATCAGCTGCTCAATTTAATTTCCAAATCTTAACTGAAAAAACTGAAAAGAGAAGCGGATTGGTTGCCATGCACAGCTGCTCCAGATTTTGTCTGCTCCAGTTTTGATAAATTCCCCCCATGTGTTTTCATTGCATTGGTGCTCATACAGAGATCACTTCAGTCTATAAGGAAAAGTGGAGAGCTGTCCTACTAAAATGGACTTACTGGTAGCTGTCCATTACTATGGTATGCAAAAAAAACATTGGACAAGTTCAGGAATCGTAAAAAAGAAAAATTAAACAAACAGCAACTTACCTCCTTCAAAGATTTCAGCTTCCCACACTGTCTACAGCCTGGCTGGTAACAATTTAGAGCATGGCTGTCTCGGTCTGCACACTAACATGCCATAGACATGAATGGATTTTGTTGCTGCAATACAGGCACATCCCATACAAGTCTATGGGACATAATTGTGCAGGTGTGGGCGACCCGGCACTATATTGTTTACCAGGCTGCAGACAGTGCAGGTCGCCATAGTCATCAAAGGGGGTAAATACAGACCTGCAGGAATGGGGAGCCAGCTCAATATATTTAGGAGGCTCGGGAGGGGGGCTGGGATTTGAGTAAAAACACAAATTTGTACTTTAACTTACTACCTACCTAAAATATATATGCAGCAATATAGATGTTTGCAATATTGGAAACATGAAATTATTGTAATAAGATGGTTTATAGAGCACTTTGCATCTCGTTGGTACCACACATGAAAATGTGTGTCAAGAATTTGAAGTTATGGGCTGAAAACACTTTTTTGGTCTTTCTTTTTCTTCAAAGTCACAAACATGTATTGATCAGAGCAGAAAAGTAGCTCCACTTATTCCTGTGCAGTCTGGAAGTCAGACCCTTCTGCCAAGCACCTGGATCTGGGGTTCCTACAGACATAAGATGAAGTTTGCCCAATCTGACCAATTATGGTCTTATATTTGTGCAGCCTGGCTTGATTGTTTTACTCTGACATAAGTCAGCTTTGTCTTTCTCCACCATGCCAGTGTGTGTATGAAGATCTATCCTGTGTGTGGCAGGTCATTTGGCATCTAGAACGTGCAAGAATGACAATCTTCCATCTGAAGTCTGTAGTGTTACCATTTTGGCTATGAAAATACAAAGGTTAATGGTTCAGTACATAAGGAATATAGAGTGGATTGGTGTATTATTCATCACAGCTGGCCCCATCTCACAATGGATGATGGTTTTTACTCCCATATAAAAGTATAACTCCAAAAGGGTGGGTTGGAATAAGAAATTCTCCTCACTGGAAATGGAAGTTCAAACAAATCTCTGTAGAATCTTCAAACTGCAGTTTCAGCATATAATACCAGTGCAGCCCCAAAATGTTGTTTTAGTATACAGTCATATATTCAATAATGTATAACATTTAGGGTCCAATTCAGACTGACACTAACAATCTGTCAATTTAGATATTGGCCAAAAAGGCTTGAATGTCAGGAATTCTTTGGGCTGGAGCAGGCTATTATGGTGTGGGTAACCTCGATTGTCATGTTGTCTGTCACTTGCAGAGCCCAGGATTACACTTTTTATGTCTAATTTCCCAAAAAAGTTTACATCTTATAAAGAATGCAGCAAGAGAGTTAAGATTCTAAAAGGCTTGGCTTTACAATGCTTGAGATTGGAGTTGCCGTCCTGGTATGTGACAATGACTAAAATAACGGGCAGACAAACAGCTAAGATGCAGTTGAACGACATATATGTAAACTGCCTTACCTGCCAAGGGATTTGTAATTCTACTCAATCAGTTTAGCGGTCCAGACAATGCAGGCAGTTTTTACATACCCCAAGACCGCTCAGAAAATGACACTCTAGTTAAGCAAAGGAAGCTAGTCTTGGACCAGCCCCATCCTCTGACTGGATAATGGGCAGCAGTACACTGATTAGATCATTGCTTGCACTTTTAGTATTTAGGAATCTTCTAGTATTAAACTGCTGGGCCTGTGAAATGTCACAGATCGCTGCTAGAGTGCTGTCCCTCCCTCTTCAAGTCTGTGCAGGTGTTTACAGCTGATTGACATCAAAAGGGTTTAAGTACACTTACCAAATGTATGGAAAATGCATGTTATAGTGTTTGAACTGGAATAAATTGTTTTGTTTTTTTACAGCCTGTGTTAAAGCTGAACAGTAGGATAAGCCAATATTGTCTTATTACAAGAGTCATGTGTATTTTTCTTTGAGTCTTAGGGGTTGATTTACTAACCTTATAAACACGCCACGAACAAGTATACACCTCGGTAGTGTGTTCCCTCCCAGCATGATCTATTGGTGGAATCTAGACACCTTTGTAGTGTGTACACACCCAGCAGGTGTGTTGTGCAAAGCTCTGCATGAATTGCAAGGTGATGTTGTGTAAATTAGCTCTACATTGTGTTGCTTGCGTTGATGAATGCAGGAATGTAAATGCATGAGCTACCCATTTTTGTCTAAACTGTGAAGCAGCATTATATATGCATCATGCGCATGATTTTTCCATATATGGCATTAGTGGAAATATGCTTTTAGAGACTTTTTGGTTGATAAATACGTTTTGCTGTGTAAAAATCACACGCACCTAGTGCGTGCGTGTGTTTTGGTTAGTAAATCACCCCCTTAGTGGGTTTTGTGTATTTATTCCAGATCTGTGCAGTAATCCAGCATGCGATTTTTGCTTTGTGCAGGAGCTTCCTGCTATGAAGACCAGTCACTGCTGCTCTTTCTAATTGTGCAGGGTGACTGGTCTTGTATCTGAATTCAAAATTCAGATGGGACCCATCACACTCCTGACCGAATTGTACCCTTAAGTATCAGGTGGGTGCCCTAGTGACAGCAGATGCCTCTGCAGATCAATGTAAAGTAAAGGAAGGTCACTAGCACTCCAACATAATTTTTAGTCAATATTTATTGACCTCTGTGGTGTCACATCATAATAGCGATGTTTCGGAGCCACATGGTCCCTTCTTCAGGCACCCAACTCACTCTTTGTTTGCCTGAAGAAGGGACCATGTGGTGCTGTGCTGCAACTACAAATCCCTTTACACCTTGTAAGACTCTGCACGGGCATGACTTACAGAGGCAGATGCATAATGGGGTTTGTAGTTTCACCACAGCTGGAGGGTTGGAGTTTGCCTACCCCTGCTCTAGATCATTCCTGCAAGAGTTAGATGTACAATGTGACTCTTATAACCCTCAAAAGTTCATATAACCATGATTTTAGTCAGCTACAACATGAAGATATTGCATTGTGTGCTGAAGCATCATTTAAAGCACATTTAGTGTGAGTTTAAAAAAAAACAATTCGGATTTTTCTTTTTTCCCTGCAGATCTTTATATTTGCATTTTTGGTTATACGATTTCCTTCCAGAGAAAGGCAAAAAAAAGAACAAATAACTGTACAGTAGCGCTGTTTCGTCCTGGATATAGAAATTTGTGCCATCTGTTTTTAATTCTCAACTTCAAAGGCCGGTGCATCTTCTTAATATATGCCTTGGATGAAGCCCCTACAAACTGGAATGTATTTAACTCTCCAGGAAAACACCAAACCACAACTAAGTCACAAAGCCATACACCACATCTGATTATACCTGAGAGAACTGGGGTGTATGCCCATGCAGAACAATACGTTTCCTGTTAGCAGCTTGTAAAGTGAATGGTATAGATGTCTTGTTCATGTACTGACTGACTGATAATGGTTCATGGGATTGTCCTCATCTAGAGTCCTTTATTAAAGTATACAATCTGGGAGTTCGGGTTCTTCTCCATGATGCGGTCACGGACCTCTGGTTCCAAACTGGACACTTTCATGGAGCTAATAAACAAAGTAACAGATACATTAATAGGTGACATAATAGGGAAATAATGCCAGTTCACTGACATAATATTAAATTGTGTGTGGGTTAGTAGCCACAGCATCAGTGGAAATGGTTGGGACAATTGTCTCAAAATCAGATTGACATATTTATATAAATTAATAAATTAGAGGTATAATTATCAGCTGGATGAAACCAGACAAATTAGGCAGCCTTGGTCCGTGGTTGGCGCCTGTAATATGTGGCAAAATATTTAAAAGCAAGGTGGTGTCAAAAGCAATAATATTGATGATACCAATGATGGTAATCCAACTGTTCAACTATGGGACAAACATAAAAATGACTACAAGGATAAATACTGGGACCTCAACCAGGCAGGTAGGACCATTATGGCTGCTTTCATACTGGTCCCTGCTGATGATGTAGCAATAGGCCATGCCATACAGTCTATGTTTATACGGAATATCATCCAACATGTAATAAAAAGTTAAAGTTATGATAGAGTAAAAATTTTTTTTTTTTTCAATTTTCAAAGCAAAGGTTAATAAAATTAGAGTATCTCCTTTCAAAATATTTTACACACCTTTTCTGAGGAAACAGAGCACAGCAAAGCGGCGTTGCAAAGACCAAGCTAAAAACAGAAAAAGAACATTTATATTCATACTGGATAAAATTAGCAGATATATGCAACTTTAACAATTATACTGTAGAGATGGAAAGGCAGGTCAAGTGACCACCATGGTTTTTAACACCATCAAAAGGATAATTGTGCAAGGGATTAACCAGACAGGCATAACTTAAAATGTTACTTTACCCAATGGTTTTCTTAATGGGAAGCCACACAACTGGCTATCTGCATGTCAGGGATTCCTACAGTGTGTGGCAGCTTAAAGGGTTTGTCTGTCACTACTGAATCTCATAAAAGTGGCACTAAAGTGATTGTGCAAGCCAGCCAACAATGTCTACAGAAGTAAGGGTAGCCATAAATAATCTAATTATGTCCCGGGCTGTTTTTAAGTTTGGTCAAAACTCGGACTGTTTATGGGAACACACTGAGCAGTTACAATGTTGGAAGCAGTCATGTTCACCAACAGAGATTTTTCTACTCGCTGGAAACAAGTTTTTGGTGCTGGTAGCCATTAACAGTTATTTGCCAGTTGAAATTGTTAGTGAGTTTCTGTAAAGCTGTTACTAATAAGGCTGTGTTTCTACTTGGGTGTCTAAAAAGGATTTTGAGGGTCACAGAAAACAGGAAATGAAAAACATTGGTGTTGACCTAATTACCCCTGATCCTTCAATTCAAAAAATGTCTATCAGTATACAATAGCCAGCTGAGCTAGCAATTGTACACATGTCTGTCCCGATTTTATATAAGAACCACTTTACCAACATTGCCAATGCTTACCAAAAGCCAACTAGCCCGACTTGTACGGGTGCATTCATCCATGGATAACGCTGAGGTATGCAACAAGACAAAAAATAAGTAAATATGTGGTGTTCGTGATTAGGATAAAACATTTTTGTATATGCAAAGAAGACCTTTCAAAAGGAAAAAAAATCCTATTAGGTTAACTATGAACATAACGATTTAGCATACTGTTGTAGATCTCTAACTGATTATTTTCTGCATGCATTAAGAAAGACTGCTAAAAATGAATTCTAAATGGGAGGTTACTGTTTTACTATAACAAGAGTAGCCCCACCATTGTAATAAGGAACATTGTGTCCCTGGCAGTTCTATAGATAAGACAGTTTGTTTGTTTTTTTAATTCTGAACTTCAGCTATAACAATCTAATCATAAAATAAATAGCCTAATAGTAAAAATAAAACATTGCTTTTGCTGCAATACTCATCTTTAGTCCCACATTACTACTTTTTCACCACTAGGTGTAACCAGTCTTCAGGGTTGAATGACAGTCACATCATTCAACCCACTTCCTCTAAACCCAAGCTGTCCTAAACCCGCCCCCTTAGGCTGGTGTCTTTCTGCAGCCTGGGTTCAGAGAATTACTGCACTGAGTGGCGATCACACGTAATTCAATGTAGCAGTAAGGACTTATGACTACCACCATCAGATGATAAAAGGAAAGACCTGTGACATCATCAGACCAGCCAGAAAACAGTTGGCAAAAAGGTCAAAGTCACAAGCACTCCACTGTGAAAACGAGGGGCAATACTCATAACCTAAGGAGATACAGGAAATCAAGAGGACACTGTTATAATTTTAAAAAATTTTTGAAGATTAAAGTGGGAACCTGATGGATAGGCTGCCTACAATTTATCCCTCAAGCTATATGCAAACAAAGCTTCTGGTAATGAAAAATGGAAAATATACATGAGCAGAAAAATCAGGTTAGTTAATCATTTTGGCTGCAGGCTCAAATTTGAAGGTCCATTTTAAATAATATTTTGTACAGTTATTATTCTTTATAAAACAAACACCCATTCAAAACATTGTCTCAAATCTTACCTTAAGAAACGCTCTCTTCTCCAGAAAATTCATAATTACAGGTGGGATGGCTAAGAAAGACAAAGTGACATGAATTAGGTATTCAAAACAAGGTGACAGCTTTGGAACAGTAACAGTCATTCTAAGACTTATGCCTGTTGCATAGTATACTCTGTAGACCATACCTGGACATGATCATCATATAACATAAATATTACTACATCATGAGCGGCATATATATTTCATAGTAGTTCAATTATTTAACACTGTATAAAAATGCCCCTAGGTGACCCTAGCCTTTACCTATCCATTACAGTTAAGACCTTAACGTAAGTTCCCCACCTCCCTACTACAGTCCACATTAAATTGGACAAAGATGGACCTTATTTTCTCAGATCAAAGGTTGTATAGATCCTTGGTTCTCAACCGGTGGGTCGTAACCCAAAAGTAGGTCGCGGCCCCATTTTCAGAGGGTCACCGCATGCCTTCTATTTTTCTAGGTGAGAGGTTCCTCAGCCTCCCCCTAGTGCAGCACTATCAGTTCTCGGGCCAAGCAGCCATTCAAAATATGCTGTCTGGTGCAGAGTGACAGCTTGAGGTGGGGTGGGGTGGGATGGGGCCATCATAGCCACGAGAGAGCTTCATCTATTTGTGCATTGCTTACAGCTCCTTTGTGTGCCCTGTAGAGGTGCCTGGACTGGAGTGATGTCACATTCTGGCTCCCACTACTTCTACAGGGCATGCAAGCAATGAACATATGGATGGAGCTCCATCACAGCACAGCAGTCCACACTGGACCCCAGGCTGAGAATCCACTCAAGTTCTCGTAAGGTAGGAAGACTGGGTGGATGCTGTGCGTTCCATTGCACTGCAACTTGGGTTGGAACTTAATGATCAAGGACACATGTGGATCCTGAGGTTGCACAGGTTGAGAACCACTGGTATAGAGGCTACATACTCATCATCCCCAAGGTCATCATCTTAGGTTTGCTACTTTTGAAAAAATTTGGAAACATCACAGAAAGTCTGTTTCATATGTGTTTATTGATTCAGCTATCTAATCATATGCACCATCTAATGTTGCAGACTATACTTTATGTAAAGATCAATACAATTTGGAAATGAAAAAAATACCTCAAGCCTACCCCTTTCCCAAACACCTAACTAACCCATAAAATTAACCCTTAAAGCCCCATTAAAACTATGGTTTTGTACAACACATTTATGCATCGGTATAAGCATGTTGTGGTGTGGTGTGGTGCGGTGTTGTGCTGCCCCCTAAATCCACATGCACAGCAATGAAAAACTCAAGTGAAAACTTTGACATATAAAATGGCTTAGAATTGACCCTGAATGACCAAATGCTTTGAAATAGAATTGATCTTCTTGCTCTACCTTAGTTGCCAGTGATTGTTAAGCCCTGGATACAGTAGAGATCTAACATTACATTCTGTGTTTATAGAAAAAGGAGATAATTCAGCATGGAGTGTTCTCTGTCTTGCTATAAGCACAGGTAAGAAGCAGGGGTCCACCTTTTTATAAAAGTGGAACATTTGTTTAAATGTTTTCTTTACAGAAAAATGAAATCCAGTTATGTTTCACAAAGATACGTTAAAGTCATCTTAGCGTGAAATCAAGGCTGGTATTTCTTGACCTTTAAAGCAATTTACTAGTCTTTATTAATGAAAAATACCATTAACAGACATGTGCAGTGTGTAAAATTTCAATTTAGTCTGAAATGTCAAACAAGTCAATACAAGTTGGAATTTAGCTTAGTATTTTAACATTTGTTAAGACTGAGTAACCCGTACCCAGTGTATGAATAGTAACTAGCAGAGGAACAGAGTAGGAATCTTACTTACCCATGGCCGGTGCCGCCATGCCGATCCGTGATACTACCACCTGGGCAATGGCTTGCTGGGCGGCCTTTGTGGATTCTCCCAGTCTGTTTCCATTCTCATCTGTAACTGGGATCCCAAATTTCAGTTCTCTGATTCAAAACAAAGCAGAACAGTTTTTAATGAGAAGGCAGATGCTCCAATACGGGATTCTTGTGCCATAGAAAAAAATACAACTGGAATCTGATTGGTTGGTTTTGATGATGCAAACAATTTCGGTCATTAGGGGTCTGTGTGGACAGGCTCTGAACTTGTGTCAATGGGCAAATGCAGCTTGCTTCCAGGTTCATTCTGCTTGCATTTGAGATCAGGTTAGGAGTCTTCTGAGATTTTTCAGAATTCATTGACAGGTGATATTTATTTGCAAAAAAAAGTAACAAATGCACACATATTAATAAAAGAATATTTGCATTTGAACCTGAAAAGCATTGCAACCGAGATCAGTGGTTCCTTCCAGTTCCTTTCAGTTAAAGAGGTTAAAGAGGAACTTTACCCATATCTTTAAAATAACAACAAATACACCTTTAGAAATGTTTAGTAGACATGTGCACCAGCAAAAAATTTGTTTAGGTTAGTTTTGTTTTGAAACAAAGAAAAAAAAATTGTTTAGTTTCGTTTTTCGGATTCGGATTATGGACGAAATTCGTTATTGGACATTAGGGGGGGAAAAAATAACATTTTTTTTTTTTATTATTAGTCTGCAGAAGATGAAAAAAAAAAAAAAAAGCCTGAGGTTCCCCCCCAATTCATACCAGACCCGTTAGGTCTGGTAGGAATATTAGGAGAATGCCAATTCAAAAGCAAAGAAAAAAAAAACATTATCTATTATTCTCCCTGCCCTGGATTAGAACCTGCAACCTTGACAATGGCAAACCTGTGCTCTAACCACTACACTATTGACTCTGAACTTTTAACCATAGTAGCATTTGATATATATGAATGCAATATGTAGCATTTGACGGCTGAGAATGTCAAATGGGCAGAGCAAGCCGTGACGTCATGGCTTGCTTCGCCCATCTGTTGACATTCGGACTGAATGTCGTTTATTTGCGGCTAGTTTTCGTTTGGATCGAAAAAAAATGTTATTAAAGGAATAGTAAAAAATTTACTGTTGGTTTTTTTTTCAATTAAAGGATTTTGTCAAAAGTCTGGACTTTTTACTAACTATTTGATTTAACCCTTTAGTGAATGGGTAGGGGTACAAGTACCCCTTACTCATTCACATGGGAGGGCGGCATCTGGGTGCCCCTTATTTAAAGGGGTACCCCGATGCAAATAAGCTCCCTTGCCCGCAGACCCCCACATACACCGGGTCAGGGTTGTGGGGAAGAGGCCCTTGTCCCCATCGGCATGGGGACACCCTCCCAATGCCGAGGGCACGAATGTCCTACAATGTCCTACAATTCACTGAGAACTACAGTGCCTCTGCCATTGTGGAAAGTGTAGTCTCTCCATTGAGGTTTCAGCTGTGTGGGCAGAGCCGCGTACAGCTGCGCCTAAATTTAAAAAAACTTTAAAAGTTTGTCCCACTAAACAAGCAAGCTCTAGTCCCATTAGCACTGCTGTTTAGGTCAAGGGACGGAGGGACAGCACACATTTTTTTTTTAAATATACAAATCTTTTTGCTTTCCGAAAACTACCCTTCAGGGCTGCCTTTGACACCTGGTTGGCCCTGCTTTCCAAGAACAGTCTCAGATTTGGAAAAAATGTTAACACAAATTTGGATCAGCATGATGGACAGGCAACTGATATTTTTAAAATGTTGAGTTAGAAGCCCATATCCCTCCTCTGTCCAAAAGTATTTATTACGCATATTTATATAGAGCCAACAATTTACACAGCGCACATTGACATCAGTCCCTGCTCTCAGGGAGCTTGCAATCTAAAGTAATCTCTTGTCACATAGAGCCAACTGCAAGGGAGAACCTGCAAACTCCATACAGATGGTGTTCTGACCAGGATTTGAACCTGGGACTCCAGTGCTATAAAGCAGGAGTGCTAACCACTAAGCCATTATAACAAACATACTATAGGTCTGTATATAGCATTCACTGAGACAACACTCTGCAGGAAAGGTCTATCTACACCAGTCCCTACAGCAAGTGGCCCTTGAGAAAATGGTTATAGTGGGGGACAATGTTTTCTGGGGCACAGCTGACTTCCTGTCCATAGAACACTGCAGTCAGGAGGATCTTCACAGCATGAAAACCCAATAATGTCAACAAACAGTCTGCCTTCAACTACTATAAATGTGCTAGAATGCTGAAAATCCCACTTGTTATTATTATAGAAGGAGGAGCGTTGAGAGTATTTGGAGACCACGGAAAACAGAACGCTTGGTAAGATACACAATTCTAAACATGGTAAGTGTGGCTGGAGGCATATGTGGAAGGTTTGTAACTCTGCTGTGTATATGCAACACAGTCTCCTTTTTGTCCTAATCTCTTTAAAGAAGCCAAACCACCTAAGGGACCTGAGAAGGATCTTTGGTAACTGTGCAGTCTTATACCAAAGTTACTCTGGTAACTGTGCTGTACAGTGATATACTGTAGGTACCCTGTTTCTTGTACTGTACAGTCGTATACTGTAGGTACCCTGTTTCTTGTACTGTGCAGTCATATACTGTAGGTTCTCTGGTAACTGAGCTTTACAGTCATATACTGTAGGTACCCTGGTTCTTGTACTGTACTGTTCTTGTCTTGTACTGTACCCTGGTTCTTGTACTGTGCTGTACAGTCATATCCTCAGGGTACCCTGGTTCTTGTACTGTGCATTCATATACTTTAGGTACCCTGGTTCTTGTACTGTACAGTCATATACTGTAGGTTCTCTGGTAACTGTGCTGTACAGTCAGTCATATACTGTAGGTACCCTGGTTCTTGTACTGTACTTGTCTTGTACTGTACCCTTGTTCTTGTACTGTGCTGTACAGTCATATCCTCAGGGTACCCTGGTTCTTGTACTGTGCATTCATATACTTTAGGTACCCTGGTTCTTGTACTGTACAGTCATATACTGTAGGTTCTCTGGTAACTGTGCTGTACAGTCATATGCTGATGGTACTCTGGTAACTGTGCTGTACAGTTATATACTAAAGTTACTATGCTGTAAATTCATATACTGTAAGTACCCTGGTTCTTGTACTATACAGTATATTGTAGGTACCCTGCTAACTGTGCTGTACAATCTTATAATGAACGTACTCTGGTACAGTCATATGCTGAAGGTGCTCTGGTCGCTGTTCTGTACAGTCATACTGAAAGTATTCTGGTCGCTGTGCTGTACAGTCATATTGAAAGTATTCTGGTAACTGTGATGTACAGTCATACTGAAGTACTCTGGCAACTGTGCTGTACAGTCTTATAATGAAGGTACTCTGGTACAGTCATATACTGAAGGTACCCTGGTAACTGTGATTGAAGGTTCACATACCGATCATATCTGGAGAGTGCCCATATTGGATTTTTAGGGACATGAGGATTATGCAGCAGTGATGTGGCGGCAATAAATAGGAAAATCCATTCATAAGGATTTTCTACCAGCAAAAATGAGATTATAGTTTGAAGTTAAAATAAGATGCAGTCACTGGGGGAGATGTATTAACTAACAGAGGTAGAAAACCAGCAGCTGCACTTTACACAAAAATGAATTCTGCTTAATATTAATATTATTGTATTAATACTATCTGTGCAATTTAAAAATAAATCAGAGGAAAGACAAGCACACTGCTTGGTAAACACCTGTTGCTTACCCTTTATTAGATCACTATACATCCCACGTTTTAAGCCCCCCCCATAGTGTTTGGGTAATGATAGAAAAACAGTCAGCAGCGAGATTCAGGTGTGATATGAATGACTGTCAGGTGCTCATTCAGATCGATGTGATCAATGATTGAGGCTGCTGTCTGACTTTGTGATTCGAAGTAAAACAATATGTAATAGAATCCTGTCATGCAGGTAACACCGAAGCTGCCAATGCTGACCTCCTTTCGATAATGCTAATTATCCGGATGTCATCTTCACCCTCAGACTCCAATACTTTCTGATGCAGATCAGGACTACTAAGTGGCCTAGCAGGTGTGCAGTTCAGTAGAAGTTGGAAGTCTTGATCTGCATACCTGACCAGTGCAGAGATTCAAGGCCCGTTCCCACCATAAACAGTGCGCTCCAGAGTGGTCAGCTGCTCAAATGCATGGTATCGCATCCTGGCGTGCTTCCTGCGTTCAGGGGCAGGAGGGAGCGTGGCAGTGCGTTGAAGTCAAATAGACAGCAACCAAGTCCCCCTACCGCAGTGTGATCGCCCGCATGCAATAGTACATGCACAATTTTTTGCGATCGCACTGCGGGTGGGGGGCGTCTGCAGTGCCATTCATATGAATGGCACTGCCACGCCCCCTTCCAGAGCGCAAGGAGACTTTGTGTTTGCGATCCCTTGTGTTCCAGGCGTGGGACAGTGCGATGAGCGCACGGGCTGGTGGAAACGAGCCCTGCAGCATTTTTTCAGATCGCACTGGACCAAAACGCAGGCACTGATGCGCCACGCATTCTGGTGTGGGTCGATCACACTGGGGGAGGGGGCCTCCAGGAAGCTGGCCAGGAGGCGCTCCAGTGCTTTCCAGCAGTGAATCATGCTGGAACGCACCAGAGCTCGTGTGAACCAGCCCTCAAAGTGCTGAAGCCACTGATCTAGCATGACAGCCAGGCAACTAGCATTTTCAGAAGGACATCTAAGCAATGGCAGCCTCCATGTGTTATCTACGACAGTTTTCCTTTAAACCTACAAAGAAAAAATAACACAACTAACACCTGATTGGAAATCATTTCAGTGCAACCAATGTGAGTAACTGAATCTGTCTCGGTATCCACCTCTGTACAGCAGGATTTCATTTGCTATGTGTAATCTCTGAACATGTCATATAATAGAATACATTCCTTACCAGTGATTAGCTTCTGCACTTAGTTTGGTGTGTAATGCCCAATACATTTAGTATAGTAAGCAAACAAAGCAGGGACATAAGAACACTCTTCTGTGCATACTATGTCCATTATGCACTGCATTATGGCCTAAGCTGCAAGAGAAATAAGGCCTGCACTCCCCACAGAGGTGAACATGGGCTGTTTTTCACTCAGCGGCAAGGTCAGAGTCGTGGTCTTTAGCTGGTGCCAGGCTGCCTATGTGTTGAGGTAAAACACTTAACATGATCCACAACACCCCAAACCCCCTTGCAAATTTACTTTAAGGCATATGTGTTTGAAGCCCTTGAAAGAAAAACAACACAACACTAATGTGTGGAATTATGCAAGCTAACATGCTTCTGGTAACCCTGAAAGTTGTAGGGGTGGGCCAAAAAGTTTAACCTATAAAGACAGTTTTTCACCCTTGTGCATGTAATAGATACAACACACAGTCTAGTTGTCAACTACTACTCGCCATTTATTCCTGCTTCTGCCCCACCATGGATCACAGGCTGTGCCAAGATGTAAGTGGATAGACCTTACTCTTGCAGCACCCTGCAAATCAAGATAGTTGCTGTTTTGCATTAATTCTTCAACAGGTTTTATGTGGGTCATATGGATTGTTTTTATAAGTCTGAACACAATAAACTTTTGCCTTTTTTTCAATGGTAACCACCAATGTTCACATGCAGTAAAAGGAAATTACCTTACCGTTGTCTCATAAAAGGGATATTGATGCAGTTGGCTGCTGCGACAGCAGCAAAGGGCACAAAGCGGCCAACCAGGGAGGGCAAATGCTGCCAACAAACAATTACAAATATTTTTAACACACTGGAAATATGTTACCGAAGTACAAGGACATTTACATCAAGACATTAACAAGCCTTATAGTTAGTGTCATAACATGGCTTTCTGTACTGAGAATGATGCACAGGTAGTGGAAACTAAGTCCTTGTAGCTGAAAAGGTTGCCACTGCTGATCTATGCTACTGAAAGTCCTAGATGCCCGACTTTTATGCTGACCTTCTTGCTTTAATACTTTCAGCCACTGACCTAAAACAAGCATGTTTCGGGTCATTGTAAAAACAATCAGCTTGGTGTAAATCATATTATTGTGCAGTAATGTTTGAAAAAAATATGATTCTTATTTGTAATAATGTATAAACATGGGGGAAACCATACAGTTCATTACATATGCAGGCTCTGGTTCCTGCTTTCTAATGCTACACAATGATTTGCCTTAGGCTGGCTATACGCCTTTAGATTCACCTATCTACCCTAAACAGTATGGATGAAGAGTTTCCCTTGCTGACTATTGTATTCAGTAGCCAAAGGGACCAATGGCTGCTGAATACCCCAACAGTCAATGCATCTGAATGGATGTTCTGTCAACAAGTTTTCACCCGACTCCTTTATCAATCGACTTTTGCTGAGCCTGGTGGTGTTGACAGCTCAAATTTATCCAATTCAGCAGATGTCGGACAAAATTTGAGCAGTGTATGGCCAGCTTAAGGCTTGCAATGGAGGAGCAGATGTCTCCGTTAGTCATTCATTTGAAGACATAGCAGGTCCAGTGTGTTTCTTGCTCATCACCCAATGAGAGGAAGCTACACGTGTAAGGTAAGGTGCTCAGAAAGAAGAGGGAAGGCTCTGACCCATCAAAGAGATTTTCCAACAAACAGGAAAATGTCTATGAATAATAACACAAGCAGGGAAGAAAAACCCATTATTACCCCATATTTAGCCCTAGACAGCGGCGTTAGGCCTTTGAATCGGGGCAGGATTTGGGTCTTCATGGCCTGTCTTCATGGTTCACCTTCTCAGTTTTGGTTTCAGCCAGGTCTGGTAGTTTACAAATCTGTATATTATATACAGTTACTGAATTAAATATTTCAGCAAGCATATAAAAAAGGGAAACTCAGATGTTTAGTGACGATTACGGGTATCCTCAACACTCCGACCATTCAACTTGCGCTTCTCAGTGTGGAGATTGAAATATATCCCTTGGAGTTTAGGACGGTGGTGATGCATTTTTTGTTTGCGGCCAGACTGCTGATTGCAGGATACTGGAAATCGGTAATGGTGCCTTGACTGAAACTCTATCAAAAGTGCATTCCCAATGCGAATATGAGAAAGCAATCTCCTATAGAACCCAGTCCAATGGCAGGTTCCAACACCTACGGGAATCCTAGTTGAATTATTATGTGCCTAAGCTGTAGGAAGCTAGCCCCGGTGTTATTCCATAATATATATGCTCTGTCTATTCCATCCTGACCCTTTTTCTTTCGCCGGTCGCACGGAATCGTGCTGACCGATACTCTTTTCCTTTGTTTCCACTTCTCTATTTCTTTCTTTCTCGGTTTTGACTATATTGTTGATTTAAAGGGTCTATATAGATGGCCCATGCCTACCTAAAGCAACATAACTTGTACGTTCTTGGGAATTTAGGATACTTATCATGCATTTATATAGATATGATTTTCCCATCTGATATGTAAGCTTTGAAAGATTTGTACACATTTTATATCTCTTTATATTGTTTGTCATCTATTGCTGACCTATTTCTTAATAAAAATCTATTGTTTAAAAAAAAAAAAAAACAGGAAACTCCACAGCCCGACTCCAGCCAAAACTTTTGATTTCTTTTCAGATAGTGTGGGAAGTTTGGTAACCCTTTTGGGCAGATTAAGAAATGTGTCAAACATAGACACAGACAAAAACATTTTTTTAGTTTGGAATGGTTACAACATCCAATGAATTGACAATGTTTACTACTGTCCATGCTTTCCCATATTTTGTATGGCTGTCACAGGGACAGGAAGTGAGGAGAGAAACTCCCCAGTAGGGTCACACATAGAAAGAAAAAAACAATCTCAAACACTTCCCCACTATATCCAAAAGTTACATAACAAATGGAAAATGCAAAAATTGTATTTAAATACAATAAAACTAAAAACACTGTAATATTCCTTTTTAAGCTATTCATAGCAGCCAATTCAATTGCAAGTTCATCAGCTTAGCCTATGTATAGTTTATACCTGATAAGGCTGCAATATAAAAGATCTACTGACAAATATGGCTGTAAAGGACAGCTGTGGGGTTAGGAGTGATACAGCTTAGCCTATGTATAGTTTATACCTAATAAGGCTGCGATATAAAAGATCTACTAACAAACATGGCTATAAAGGACAGCTGTGGGTTTAAGAGTGATGCATTTTATACAAAACATAGATGATTACCTTAGTCAGTGACTTCAGACCCAGCGCTGTCACCACAGCCCCTGTAGTAGCACTAACATATGCTGTTGCTAGCTGGCTGCAAGAAAATGTAAGACAATTATAAGTAATATCCTGGTATGTGTACAGAATGCTTAGCAACTGATACACTATTTGTATTATTATCATTATTATTATGAAGAAGAATTTATATACTGCCAACAGTTTGCAAAACACTTTACTAAATAAAGTGAGACCATCTAGTTACATTGCAATCTCATACAAGAGGATTAGAAGAGCCCTGCTCATGAGAGCTTACAATCTAAAATGGATAGAATTTAAATTATTGTTAGACTCTTAAGCTAGCCAGCCTTGGCTTGGCGCTGTTGGCTCCACCCGATCAAAAGCTGTTTTTCTTTAACCAACTTTTGTGGAAGGCGCTGGATGGAAAATTATTGGCTGAACATTGGCTAAACAGCTGAGTAGTGGCTGCTGAACAGAAAAGCCTGCAGTGGGTATCCCTCCATCCGCATTGTTAATTGTGGATGGGGGAAGCTAACGATTTCTTTGGTTCTTTTGGTAGAACTGAATGAAATAAATCTAACTGTGCATGGCTAGCCTTATTTATCCTATTCTTTTAGCACTTCTGATGCACCCAGGCTAACAAGTATTGATATAATTCAATGGCAGGGCTGCAGATGGAATACTGACTTTCGGTTTCAGAGGAGGGACTACTGTGCATGAGCTTTCAAAATCACTTTGTTCTTTGCTTGTATTCTTCCATATAAGACAAAGTGAATGCATGGTAAATGTATTGTAAACACGTGGACTGATTTACTAAAGGGGTCTACAGTTTCTTAACTATTCACTTCTTTCATCCAATCAATGTGCAGAAGAATAAGTAAACAGGATTCTGCATTTCAGTGATTGGATACCTAAGGTGAATATTTACACAATTTATCGTGTAAAGATTCTCAACTCCTTTAGTACATCGGCCTCAAGGTAAACGCATCCCATTTACATCCCAATATACAGTATATACTAACCCTAATAGAACCTTAGATTTCAATATATTGTTTTTTTTGTTTTGTTTTTATTAAGTATGCACAAGCATTTCAAGGTTCCTTTATGCTCAGCTTGAAGTGTTTTTGTTGGTAGTCATGTCAATTGCTTCTAGAGGTCTGCAGTTGTAATGATGTCATTGCTGTATCTGTTCTTTGGAAAAATGTGCATCTCTGCAATGTAGTAAAACCAATAATTTGGGTGCAGTCATGTACTAAAAGGCTTATGTTTGGTCATTAGTTTACCTGGTTGTGATTGGTGCGTCTCCACTTCTGTTGGTGTAGTTCACAATGGCATTAAAGGACTGATTCACCCACTGCCAGAATATAATTGCTGGGGTTGTTCTGCAGATAAAATAGAAACCAACAGTTTATTTCAACTAGCCAGGAATATAAGTCGCGTATTATAAGATGTATTTTACTCCTCATTAATGTCTTACTGTATGACACTTGCCATATCTTTTCTAAAGCTTTAACCACTTGCCATCCGCCCGTTGTAAAAAAACGGACGGACGGCACTGCTTGCGCGCCCCCTGGCGGGCACGCACGGGCAGAAAAGACCCGACCAAAGCAAACACCCGTTACCGGGTGTTTCACATGTAGGCGATCGGCGAGGAATAAATGTCAGTCAAAGTACCACAGCTCTGAATACTGAAAAATGGCCTGGATGGGAAGGGGGTTTAACACCGCGGATGTCAACTGGTTAATATACTGTATACATGTCAAGAGAGAAATAAGGCTTGTTGCATAGCTGTTTGCGCCTTCAATGCTTCAGACCTGTAACAGGCATACAGCAAATAAAAGACAGAGAAAAGTCAGAACTCCTTCTCTCTAGTCCTGTACTGGATCAGTGACTTGGAAGTCATTAAAGGTAATGAACAAGCATGGCAAACAGCCAAGTAGTATTTTCTGAAAGAGAGGTCAGCAACGGCAGTTTGCATAGCTTCTCAGTATAGGCTTCCTTTAAATGATATTGCTGTCTAGATTATCTAGATGTAGGGATCTCAAAACATGAAATGGTTCTACTTGTGCCTACTTATGAAACACTAAGGAAAATATTTCCTTACCATATTTTTACACTAATAAATGCATGATAGACTCAAGTATTATGGGAACAAAATCATATAACGAACAAATAGTTATTTTTCTCATCAAAAATAACTACACTACATTAGATAAAGCCTGTAATAGCTCCATTTTTCCTTTCTTTCAGTTTTTGCAAATTAAATCTATAGCTATTTATCCTTTAATATTTCTTGGCTTCATGGATGTCTGATGACATACTTGTAAAATGTAAGCATGCAGCCAGTTATGGTCATGTTCATTGGAACTTGTGCAGACATCCTTCCTATCAAGACCATCTTCTCGCCTGTATCTGGATGAAAAGCAGAGTCGTAGATGTATTTTGCTCTCCATAGTTGGTCTTCAGTTAGTCCCGGTGTTGGTATTCTGTTTCTGCAAATCAAAGATGTATAAAATGCAAATTATTATTATTATTATTATTATTATTATTATTAGGGGTGCACCGAAATAGAAATGTAAAAACCGAAACGAAACCTAAATAAAAAAAATTGTCAGGCCGAAACCGAAAAATAATTTTTTTTAATTTGTTCAAATTTAGTAAACATTTTATTTTTATCTATTTTTTTATAAACTTTTTTTATTTTTTTATATTTTTATTTATTAATTCATTTTTTATTAATTATTTGTTTTTGTACTTTACTTTTAGGGGCTTCGGGGAAATATTAGGGGTCTAAACAGACCCCTGATATTTCTCTTTTAAAATAGAAAAAGAGATTGAGAACACAGAGTCCTCAATCTCTTTTTCTGTATCTCCTGTTATCAATTAACAGGAATCCTCTATACTGAGTGTTCCTGTTCATTCATAACTTGAGAACATTGTGTGTTTACTATAACTACAACTATGAATGAAGAGGAGGTGATTTAGATCACTTCCTGTTCATTCATAATTGAGGATATAGTAACCATACCATCTCCTCAATTATCTACAAACACTCAGCATTCACGGATCGCTGAGTGTTTGCTCTTGCTCTCCTCTCTGACACGCTGTCACAGGAGGCTGAGCGAGCAGAGCAGGGAGGAGAGCTCAGCCTCCTGTGACAGTGTGGGCTTTCTCCGCCCCCACACCGCTCTGCCGGACTGTGATAGGCGGCTGAGCGGTGTGGGAGGAGAGACACTGGCCGCTCACAGCGCTCTCCTCCCGCAGCGCTTGGCTGGCTGTCACTTTCTCTCCTCCTTGCTGGGACACAGAGCAGCGCCCAGCGGGGAGTAAAGAAAGCACGGATGTGCCGATGTATCGGCAGGAAAATGGCACTTTCGGCATTTAGCCAAAAGTGCCATTTTCGGCCGATATGTTTCGGTGGCCGATATATCGGTGCATCCCTAATTATTATACAGGATTTATATAGCACCAACAGTTTGCACAGCGCTTTATTATCAGTTCAATCAGCCATAAAGATGCAAAGCAAAAAGCAACAGCTAATTTTGAACCACAGGTGTAAATTTGGTAATACACGGGTAGATTTTTGTCAGAACATTGAAAAATGTCATCATAGACTTGACGAATGTCATTTAAAATTTGATTTGATTTTAACATTCAGTTTTGGAAATTAATGGAGTTTCCCGAATGTAAACCACATTGACTGAAAACATTTCCGTCCTGCTTCTTTCATGTTCTGCATCACTATGGTTAAAATTGTTTGTCAATTTGATCCTACTAACCATTGGAAAACCAAGTGAACAGTGCAAAAACAATTTAAAAAAAATTAAATTCTAACTGTGTATAACCAGCTGAAGTATACTTTATGGTGCCCCAGTGCTCCACTGCAATGCATACAGAGAGTTTAATTGTTGTCAATGTTATTGTTCTGCTTAGGGAGGATATGGTCCTCTTTATAACTGTGAGTTGCTGGAACTCACCAGAAGAACAGAAATTATAGGCAGCTGCACAAGCCCACCCCCACCCACCCAATGTCGGCAATATGCTTTAAAGCTTAGACCTCATCCACAGGAGCACACTGAATGCCATTGGCACAACAGTGTTTCAACTCCCAGGGTCAGTTTCGATCCAAAATGTTGCATTTTTGTGATGAAATGATGCTATGTCCTACTGCTTGTAAGTGTTATTCTACTGATTGACACAAGGAAGAGGATCTTTTCTTATCAATTAGAGGTCCCCTGTGCTGATTTTGCAGTAGTGGTAACACTATTGTAGCCCAAAGTAGGGTGGATTGTTGCACAGGGCACTTCATGTGGGAAGGTTTGCTATTGTCCACTTTCCTTTGTAGAATTGATAGGCTAGGAAACTACATGTCACCTTACTCATTAATATTGTTTTCTTTTAAGAAAACTATGTGCTCTACACTAATTAATTGAAGGCCCTCTATAGACTCTATATTCCAACTTTATAGATTCTTCTGCTTCCAATATTTTAAAATCCAAATCTGGTACAAACCAATTTAAGGCCCCTCCATGCTACATTCAATTTCAAATATCAACCTCAGCAGGGCTTGCTCACTATAAATAAGTGCTAAATATACTGTATAGTGTTATTGCAACCCCTTTGAATGTTTTAGGTTAGTTTGCTTTTTATAGAATATAAGCAAAAATCTATTTTTTTAAAAATAAACATTTTTCGTTTAGTTAAGCTGCCAGTAAATGAACCTGTAATTCTCTACAATGTTCTTTGCATCCTCCAGCACTTTCGGTCCTAGTAGCACATTGCGAGGATCTGTCACCATGAAGAAATGTCGGGCTCTTCCTTCAAAAGTGCTCTGGTCCCATCGTGGTTCCTTAATGTTGATGTTGAACGGAAGGTCTTCAGGCATTGTCTGGAATAAAGATTAATAAGCAAGTCAAGTGAGTTCATTCTCAAGTAGTTGTGGTAATGTGATTACCAGGTAGCTATAAGGTCAAGACTGCTGTTAGTGCTGACTTCTCAAATAAAACTTTTGGGTTAATTTTATGAAGAAATGTTTTTACAAAGTTTCTGAGCCCACAGCAATTCAGAAGTTATAATTCGCTATCTTAACTCCAGAAATGGAACTGTCAGACAAATGGAATGTCTGGTTGATATGGGTCAATGCTCTTTGCACTTGCTTACTGAATTAGCCTGTTAGGGTTTACATGCGGTAATATCTGTGCAGCCATCATACATAAAGCAATTTACTGGCTAACAAAGGAAAATAAAGAAACCCTGTTTTCGGACTATTACGGACAGGTGCATTAAGCTGTTTATGCACAAGCAGCTTGATCCAAATTATTCTTCTTTTTCTCATCTGTGTAAGGGCCATTCATGGTGATGGCCAACTCTGACCAATACAGACATTAGGTACTTACAGGAAACATTTCTATAATAAGGGACATGATAGCTATAGGCATATGAAACCCAAGTACATGTACCATTGTTTCCCTATAGGACCACGCCTCCCATCCTCACCATTTCAGATTTCCTGGCTTTCAGTGCTGGAGACAGCCCATGCAAAAGCAGATAATTTGCATTTTATAGTCAAAAATTGGTCTGTATATGGGCCCCTGCACTAAAGGCACTGCCCACTACTATAAAATCTCGTTGCTTCCCTCATTAAGACTGTAGTGGCCCCCAAATCCTCAAAGCTCTGTATAAAACTGCAGCATCGTGATTTTTTGTGCTAAGGAAGAGAAATCTGTTAACTCCTACACACATAGTTAAACTTCTCATTTTTTACAGACCTTTGCAGTGTGCCAAAACAAGTTTGTTGAAAGCATGCCCAGACCATTTTACACAGACTTTCCATTCCAAGCTTTTTTATCCCGCAAATAAAATCAATTTCAGCTTTCCCAGAACTGTGGGCTCAGTAACTCTTTCTGCTGAGAAGTCTATGTAAATTAAAGCTGCAAGCCCAGATATCCATTAGTCGTAAATGAGTATGGCTTATAACTATTATATTAATTGATCACTTTACTCATGAGCATGGTCATATGCCTGCTTGCCAACTAGTTAAAGGAGTTCTCTTTAGTACATGCAATTATTATAGTAAGGCAAGGAAAGAATTGCACATGTTTGGTAGCTTCCATGGAAAGCTCCCCTTTATATGTAGAGACCGAAATTCCTATGATTGACCCAAGATAACATAGCATGTATGCAAAACAAAGAGAACTGCACATAATGCCTGCTGTATCCTGTGATTGGTGGACATGTGGCATGTTTCTGCGCACCTTATTACCAGTGTTTGGGTTGCCTAATTGTTGCTGGCCAGTCATGTACAAATTATCAGTCTCACAGGCCTACTATATCATCCATGGGACAGCTACTTAACCACAGTGCTGTGCTATATATTGCATTTAACATAGAACCTTATTGCAGGTGCTCCTTATCATTCCTACATTCCTAGTACTGAGAGATCCTGGTACAACCCTCCCACCCCCAGATTACCCTCCAGATATACACTAAACACAGGGAGTCACTTGCTGGGCACTGCCGCTATTCAAAAAATACCTTGTATTTTTTTAATGACCTCTGATTGGACAAAATGAAAAGGAGGTGCAAATGACATCACAATCCCCACCTCATCCAATCAAAGAATGCCTTGTGTTCATTAGAAAAAAAAAGTAAGGCGTCTCTGAACGACTTCCTGTGTTCAGTGAGCAGAAGAGAAACCGCTGGAGCAGCACCCGGCAGATTGAAACTTTTACTGTATGTAGCACAGACTACTACATTGGTTTCCAGAATCCCCAGCAGCCCTCCAGATATAAGATATGGTACTTACATCGAGCCCTGCTGAACCAATGCAAGTTTCCTTAAAGACTATTCCTGGAGTTCCCCTTTTACAAGTTGGATTTCCACTCACTTACTGCCGTGCTTCCAGGACAGGAACTGAAGGGATTCTCCCAGTGGACATCACATACGGTACATCATTAAAAAAACATGAGAGCCTCACTATCCCACACAAACACATGCACACACAATTCCAAGACTAGAAAAAAAAAAGTTTGAATGGTATTTACACTTTAAATACTCTAAATATTTAAATACAAATATCAAAATAATGTAAATAGATATTAAGAGTTCAATATATATTATTCAGTTTTTTATTATCATCTTAAAGAACAAATACGGTGGATTCAAGACCGCAGTCGCCAAAATCTCGGATTGTCCCTGCGCAAAAAAGGACCTATGCATGTCATATAATCACAACGAAACATATTACGCTGTCTTGTGATCAATATATGTCCTGTTTCTATGACAACTGTGAACTAGAGCCTGAGCTTCCCAGCTCTCACAAGGAGCACAAGGAGGGTGGTGTCAGGTTTAGGAAAAATTCCTTTGTTTGTACGTGTTCCAATGATGAAGAACGTTACAAAACAATTGCGCTCTCCAGACTCTCACTGTCATGAACAAGAAAACGTTCAGCACAAAGTGTAAGATTGCTTCCTGTAGAATGCACACAAAGACAGTAAATAAATAAGACTTTACGTTTACCAGATATGAAACCTCTGAGCGGTGAATGTGCATGGAGTCTTTAACATCCTGTTGAGCAGAAATGTTATGACTAACTTAGTTTTTTTTTTCATTTGGATAATTTGAGTCACCCGTGCCAAGACCCCACCCTAACTGCCAGCGCCGGATAATGTGGAAATATTTATCTGCTTACAAATGGCTTTTTATCCTCAAACCCTCGCATATGACTTGTGCTCTATTGCAAAACCAGTCCTAATAATAAATCTGCGTTTCAGTTCCTTTACGTATATGTGGTTTAAAATATAATGCAGTCATTAGTGTTGATGCGTATCTTTTTTAATTTTAATATCTTATTTTAGAACATTATATAAATAATGCATTGATATAATACAATATATATATATATATATATTGTATCTTGCATGCAAAAAAAAGACACTTTGCCTGATGAAGGGACCCTGCAAGGTTGGATTTTTTTTTTTATGTCAAGCTGAAGGCATACCAAAAAAGATGATATTCTGAAGCTGAATAGTGTGCGGACAACATGTCCTCTTAAATGCATGCAAAAAGCCACAAACACCATCACGTATGTGCTATTTTATAACATGCTAATCGCACCGCCTTTTAGGGGCACCATACACCTTACAATCTAGCTGAAACAATCTTTTTACAATCTACTTTAGATTTACCAAATTTATGTTATATGAGGACCTACCTGATCTATCCATTCAATTTATATCCAATCAGATAGTAACTTGCACAAGACAGTTGTGGGTAGATCTAAAGAAGATTATACAACGTAACATGAATGAGGAACTTCAGACCAGTGTCTCTCAACCTTTTTTCAGTCTGGGCACCCTTTTAAAAGTATGCAAAATCTCAAGGCACCCCAGTCTAACATGCGAAAATCGTAAATGTAAAAAAGTTAATAATTATGTCTGGTTCCATCCCATAATCAATATCACACCCTTATCCTTGACAAGGGTCTGTTAGGGGTTTAAAGGGAGACCCCAGGCAAAAGAATGATGACTTTGGCGCTTCCACCTTAACATCGGAGCCCCCTTTCACATTGGAGTTCCTTGTTTTCACATCAGTGCCCCCCTCCTTTCACATCAGATCCCCCATCCTTTCGCATCGGAGCCCCCTTCATATCACATCAGTGCCACCCTCCTTTCACATCAGTGCCACCCTCCTTTCACATCAGAGCCCCCCTCCTTTCACATCAGAGCTCCCCTCCTTTCACATCAGTGCCCCCCCTTTCAAGTTATAAAAATGTTCAATAAAAAATTTGAAGGTCTTTCATGCATACCACAAAGGTTCATCTGGGCTAATCTGATGTTATGTTTTATTGTACATTCCCCTTGCAACCTTCAGGTCTGTTCAATAAACTGTACTTCATCATGTGATACAAAAGGGATTGATGCAAACTATCATTTTGTCTTGTGACAGTCCCCTTAACACCGGCTGATGTCCAACTGACAGAAAATTCACGCCTGGGGCTACTAAACCCTGTGTAATCCCTTTTTCTAAGAACAGCCCCAGGAATTAAATTGCTTGAGGAAACAAAGGCTAAAGGCGATCTTCCAAATATAGAAGAATTAGAATCCTCTGTCATTATCGTAGACATACAACTACTTCCCCCACTCTGTGCTACCTGTGCTTTAACCCCATCAGTGCTATATCTCAGCAAATGAAGCATTAGATTTATGTACAGCAGTCCAGCTTTTTGCATGCCTGTATGTTAATCCACATGACTGCAAAGCACTGGACTGCTGTGCATACAGCCAGACACAAACCAGCCATTGTATAGAATTGTAGAGGAAACACTTACGCTTTTCTACGTCCTTGCTCAGAAGTCAAATGCTACACAGCATCCAGTGACAGCAGTGACCTCTCAATGACATCACCAGCTTGTACTGTACATAGGAGAGAGGACAACCTAACTTGCCAAGCCGCCCTCCCTCTCTGACAGCCAATGCATTAGTATGAAAAGCAGAGATAAACAGAAGGAAAGCCTGTGACTGGCTGAGCCGGTTTGCTGTCAGTGGAAACCTCAGTAGACGCAGTGGGAGTGTGAAGCACTCACATGGGTTGGCTGGCTAAGAATAACTGGCTTACATGGGGGAGGCAGGGAGGCTGGTTGGGACCAGCTGCTGCCTGATAGCACATTGAGAGTACTGTGGGTCACATGAAACATGTGGAATATCTTATTTCAATGCAATTTACTGTTGGACTAAGATATGAGTTCAACTGTAAGAAACATAAATGACTGTCGGTTAAATAAATCCTGCGAGAAGGGAAAAAAAGACTGTTGGTTGCACCTTTTTGCAGGCTATGTGGACTCTGGGCAACCAGGAAACACAATGGAACTGTGACAGTTATTTTAACCTTCAGTGTAAATAAGTTAAATACATAAATACATTCCAGGTACATGAAAACGAAAGCTGTTCAACGTCTGACTGTTTGTTTTCTTTCTAAAATCCCACTGAATGGAGCTACATTCTGAGTAGAAATTCCTGTCCCCTGGCAGCAGCTGCAGAGTGGGACTCTTGCTCTCAGTGGGCAAGCAGCAGTCTCTCTGCAAAGGTCCAACACATCCGCTGCTGAGTCAGAGCCAGCAACTCTCCAATCAGTGGGATGCCTGAGGTTTGCTGATTGCAAAGCTATAGGTCTGCAATCAGTAAAGTTCTCTATCCATCCAGTCCTGAGATTTCCACAGCTCTACTACCCTGGGGAACTGATTTTTATCTACTGTAGTAATACCGCTAGATAGCCAGGATAGCGAAGCCAGGGCCGGCCTTTGGGGTGTGCGAGTACAGGGAACCATGGCAACGAGGGTGCTAGGCGGCCAACACACCTAGTTGGGGCGGCAGGGAGTAAAGGGGCGGCACAGCCTGCAGCTTCTCCTAGGATCCCCGCTGCTCCCCTCCGCCTGTATGGGCAGAGGCAGCAGGTATCCGAGGAGAAATGGAGCACTGCAGCCAGCAAGGGGAGCAGAAGAGGGAGCTGTCATCCAGGGTGGCCGAGCAGTGTGGAAAGAGACGCTCAGCCAGGATCTGACTGGCAACTGGTTAACAAGGTAACTTTGGGATGCTACAAAATGAAACAACTCCTTCACTTTGCCCCTGTGTATGCATGATATGTGGCTGTCGAGGAATATATTTGATATAACGTTTTTGTGTATGGAGTTCAGCTTTACATTTTAACATGGCCCTTGTTGACATTCCCAATGGGAAGTGTTCAGTTTCTGCTTTGGGAGAACTGTCACAGTTCTGGAAGAAAAGTTTCTGCTATAAGTCCCTTCATAGCAACAATCGGATTAGAGATATTTTCTGTCTTCCACTACGATTTACTGATTATATCTTTGAAGTGTACGCAGTTTACTGAGCAGGGGGCTAGCTTAAGCAATCTAATTTCTTAATATGACTCCAACAGACAGGGAAATAACAAAAAGCAGTACCAGTATAAAATGTAAAAACATGTCCAGTTATTTATAAGCACTTCAATAATATTTAACCTTTTAGTTTGTTTTGTTATTGCATTGGTGAGAACTGTTTACATTAGTCCTTCATCTCATGAGAGGGAAAGAACTGTGATTGACAGCAGACAGATCTTGTATTTGTTAGTCATTGCTAGGTCACAAACACTGTTTAAAGCATAACATTGTAGAGCTATTGTGGATCCTTCACAGTCACCTAGCAAAATGTTTGTGAGCTTCTCGTCTGTAATTCCAGGGTTATGTGTATTCTTCAAATGAAGCTTGCCATGAGCTGTATTCAGAGACTCTCATTTCTGGCATTTTTCTAAAAATTCTAGCTGTCAGTCTGTTGTGCTGATCCTCTGGCTTCAAGACTTTCTAAGCCACCTGGAAATACTAGGAAGAGCCAGGGGTTCTGACATCATCCACAACAAGGCAACATAGGCAGGAGCCAAGGGCCCGATTGAATGTCCAGGGGGCCCAGCTACAACATTCAAGCTCTTGCAGAAAACCAGAGGGATAGTGCAAGTGGTCAAAGCTGTGTGCCTTCCTGTACCTGTCTGATGCCACATTATTACTATAGCCTATTGTCTATAGTCATGTTATTACAGACAATGCAAACAGGTTGGCTTCTCTGTCTCCATTGTGATCCTTATTAATAAAGGAAAGGGGCAAAGTTCCCACATTGCCTAGGTTCCCATTCTTCCTTTCTGTGACTTTACTTGCTCATATATATTTTGGATTTTGGATTGTAATTGTTTTGAAGCCAAAGGTTAATTATAATAGCCAGGGAACTAGCCATAGGAGGAGGCCAGTAATGGCAGCTTCTTTATCTCCTTACCACAGGTTTTACTTAAAGGCTTAGCCTGTCTTTGTGACCAAGGTTGACGTCCCACTCATATTTGTGGTGCATCATGAAATGTGGTCACATTCCCCCACGTCCCACCTCAAACCGCACCCCACTTCCTGATTTAGGGGGCTGCTCCGCAGCATTCTATTTTATTTTTAATTCAATGCAGCTGTGCATGACTCTACCTGCACATCTGTAACATCCATTCACAAGGATCTATCACCACAGCAGAGGTAGATAGATTGTAGATTAAAATGGAGCATAAGTACAGTGACTTCACTGCACTTAAAGTGCATTGATTACTACTTCCAGCCCTATATTGGTAGGGCCATACGGACCAGTGGCTGTGGAAAGAGTCTGCAGAAGTCTGTGCATTGCCCCTGCGTAAGAGCGTCCCCAGGTGTAGTGTTACCAGATGCTGCTTCCGGGTGTCACCCACTGGGATGCTATTACGCATGCGCGTGAGAACACCACGCAAGCACGTAATGACCTCATGTGCACTTAACTGCCTTGGTCCATGACCAAGTGCCCGACTTTTCAGATGGTGTCTGATGGTGTCACCTAGAGCAAGTCACAACCCTCGCATCCCTCTGCCCCGGGATGCCCTGATCACAGTTGTAATGCTCTACAGGTCTACAAAAAAATGAATAAATGCATATTTTTTTTATTTTATCAATGTGGGTGCATTTATTATTATTTTTCCATAGGTGAGCTGACTCCAGGTTTTAAGTTTTTTTGTTATTTTTTCCCTATAGGTTTTACAAAAATGTTATTCAACATTCCTAAATCGATAAATAGGATTACAAATAATATGTATTTTCCAAATTTATTTTCAAGTATAGTACCTATAGGTATTACTTTTTCTCCTGTCTTAGTTTTATAGGACATGGAATTAATTTATGTTAAAACTTGCATTTCTCACATTCATAATATGATATGATATAATATAATTGCATTATGCAGTGTGGTCTACTGATTATGTAACGGTTGGGCCTTATAGCAATGTAGCACTCTTGCACTTGGTCCAGGGGCTCCAATTACATTGAGTTCATTTCTTCCCCCCATTTTTGTGAACATTTGATACAGGTTCTCATATCTCCATTCACATGGCAAATATTAGCTAAAGGAAGACACTGAATTTAGATTTGTCTGCCTATTGGGTTAAATGAATAAGCTTCTGCAAAAAAAACATGACCGTATTCTATCTATCTGCTGTATACACCAGCTACTACATTAGGAGATTGTTCACTGGTTGCAATGAGCCTGTACATAAAAAAAAGCTTGCGGAAAGCATTCACTTGTAATGAAGAAAGGGAATACTTACCTCTCCTGCTGCCTAGGCCACAGAACTCCACTCTATTGTTGAAAAAAGCCCAACCCAAAGTCTGTGGGGACTTAATAAGTGTCAGTACCCTGGTTCACCCCACAAAGACCCCCGCCCCCTTCCTTCCTGCTCTAAAGGGTTCCTTCCTCTGACCTGACCTAAACATCACTGCTGAGCCCTTTGAATGTATAATATTTCTGAAAAAAGTCCTCTGGGACTTAATGAGTATTGATCCTCGAAAAGCCCACTCACACATACACACACTCACACAGGTTCCTTCCTCTGGCCTACACATCACTGAGTCTTGTAAAAAATAATGACTCGAGTTCTGCATAATGCAAATACAGTAATTGCAGTTAAATCATGCACTCAGCTTCATCAGCCATTTACAGATCCTTTGACAGAACCTGTAAATGGGGAAACTACAACTCCCATTAGTCACCGTGGCAGTTTCTCCTGTCCCTGTTACTGCATGTCTGTATCTCAATATAGACGTGGACAGGAGGAAAAGTCCATGGTAGCCAGAGCATTGCACCCGCGATATACTGATCACGGTTGCTTCCCTTGCTACTGTGCAATAAAAATAATAAATGCCCATTTTTTCTTTTATGAAGAAGTCTGTACTTATCATTTTTCTGCAAAAGGTGGAATTGTCCTTCAGGAGAGCTACTGAAGGCTGAAAGCTTTGCAAATGCATTGTGAAAGACTACTGAACACACTGCTGTCATAAAAGCTGAGGCTAATCCTAAACTGAGGAGAACCAATGTGCTCATAAACAGACCTTTCATATCCAATACTTGGAGGTGGTGATCATTTTCTGAGAGCCCCTCCTCGTATTTATATACCTAGAATCTCAATCAAGTCCCTGCACTTGTGCAGAATAGAGCCAAGAAGTTTATCCAACGTATTGGGAACGGTGGAATAAAGTATCAAGATCAAGAAACACATTGTAGGAAGGTAAGACAGCAATCAAAACTAGCTTGTGCAAACCTACATTTATAATGGAATATGTTACAGTCCATCCTCCTTGATGGTGTGCAACTGAAAGACAAAATAATACATTGCTCTATAGCTCTAGATTATGAATTATATGTTGATCCTTACAGTAAAAGCCTAATGACAATTATATACCAAAATGTATCTGAAAAATTAGTGTATATGCTCATATGGTTGGTACACCAGACACATATTTATCTACACTGATTCAAACGTGATTAATGAATGCATGAACAAAATACTGTATAGTGTATGAGATATTCAGCAAGTAATCTTATGACAGTATAGGAAAACATAGGTCAGCATAAAATGTGTTATGAAGAGACACCATAGAGTTAACATGTACTGTAATAATAAAAAACACAACAAAGAGTACATGCAAAAAGTAAAATATGAGTGCACACAAATAGACCCTGTAACGAAAATTAGGAACTTATTCCATAGAATTATATGTGTCTATGTTTGCGTTTTTTATATTTCACGTCATCCATATTTAAAACTCATAATATATACACATATAACATTGTACTACGCCCATCTGCAAATTCACAAAAAATTCAGTTGTTGATATCTATGTAACCATTCTGTATGGACTATTCACTTTTACTTAAACAAGTCAATATAGTTCTAATGAGTTTTTACATGTTTGTATATGTATACTTTCCATCAATATTTACATGACCTAACATTTAGAAGCATTTTAAAGTAGATCCTAAACTGAACCTTCTTTTTTTTTGCTGTGGGGTTAGAAAACCAATCGGGTTTTTATTGTTAGAATCACTAGAACAGGAATAGAAGGGAAAACTTCTAGTGGGGGCACCTGTTGCCTTGAGAGCTGTCTAAACCTGGCCAAAATTCTAATGGAAGATCTTTCTTTACCAGTCGATATTGCCATCAGACACTTGACAAATGCCAATCGAAATTCGTTTCGATTTTAACATTCGATTTTTGGAATGGAGTTTCCCAAATGAACACCACATTCACAGTTAGAGATTCGTTAGTTCAAGAAAAAATTTTCCATCCTGCTTCTTTGAGTTTTTTCTTCATTATGGTTGGAATCGATCATCGATTTGACCCCATCAACTAATAGAAAGTCAAAAGAAAATTATTTCGAAAATCTAAGCAGTGTATGGCCAGCTTAAGAGAGCGATTCTCTCAGTTTGGCGATATCTCCTCTCATTTTCTGTAGTATCTACAGGACAGAAAGCGAAATCCAATTTCCCCAATGGCACACATAAGGCAGAAACAACCTAACAGATTTTACTATTCCCTACTCTATCCAAATTTTTTTTTTTTAATGGGGCTTTAGATACACTATAACATCATTATAATTTTCATATGTACTGTTTTTTGCCATCCTGCATTCTAATATGCAGGGAATGTATTATACCTTCCTGAGCCTTTTATCATTTCTGTCAGTAAAAAAATTTGCTTTTTTGACGTTTATCCCACATCTGGATCCCTCTTTTTACAGTAATAATAATACCTTTTTTCATCTCTGCCATGAGAGTTGTGGCTCATGCTAGTATCCTTTATATTAACAAACCACTTTGTACTTTCTGTGACACCTAGCATAAGCCACAGCTCTCATGGCCACAGTGGGCAGGAATGCATCAAAAGCTGTGCTATTTAGCACAAAACAGAAAAGAGAAAAGGTTCTCTGTCTGGAGTTCCACTTTAGAATTAGATTTCAGAGTAGCACATTAAATTAGAAATTTAATTCCGTACAGTTAAACTGATAAGTGGACATGCATGTGACACACTTTTTTTCCAGTAGGATAACAATTAATGTTCCAATGAACCCCAATGAAGGTAGCACGTTCCAAGTTCCTGATATCTCTACCAGGAGTGGCAATTGCTTTTCGGATTGCCCAGATTCCAGTATCAGAAACAACGGCATTGAGGATGAGAAGGAGGCCTGGCACAGCTCTGCCAACCCCAGAACCACCATCCTACTCTCATTGCTCTACTTGGCTCTCCTAACTTTCTTTGGCAGTGCAGTTTTGTTGGCAGAGATGCATCGCCACAGCCAACAGACTCACAACGTACACGGTTTTCTCACCGTATTGATGTTAACTTCTTCAGCTTGGATGCTTTGGTTCGGGTGGACATCTGCGAAAAGTAAAAAGATGAAGATGCACCAGGATCACCAAGCTGGAGCCAGCTGGTTGAAGGGTTTGTGGTCCCTTACATGCTATTCATCCTTTGGCTGACCAAACACTATAAAATATTTCTAAGCAATACAAATTCTTTGAAATCCAGTTGCATTGGTTGTATGGTTAAAACTTGGAGTGAAAGAAAATCTCTTCAAAGTAAGAGGAAATCCTTAGTTGTTACTGCAACAGGTGTCCCCATTGGAGGATTTGCCTCACCACTTGTTCTGGTGACAGCCATCAATTTTTGGATTTCCGTTATTTTCTTTCTCAATGACAGTGGTTCCCCAGTGGTAACACAAACCTGTTAGGGATAGACCGAGGAAGGTTTAAAACCCCTAACTACACATTTGGCTAGAAATACATTTTAAAAAAAGCTTTTATAAACACTGTTCTGTTTGGTTTTCTGAACCTAGACGGAGCCAGGGGTAATCAGACGTAAAAGGACGCATGTCCATTTAGATCTGGCTGCCCATAGTCTAACATCAGATCAGGTCCATCTGAAAAACTGACAGCCAGAAATGATCAGAGTACCCATGTGAAAGGGTCCTAAGTGTCTACCTGGTTAACTTAAAAACACTATTAGCCACAGTGGTTTGCAGCATTTGGTGATGCCTTCAAAGCTGGCAGTCATTGCCTAATTGGCCTATTCTTGGCAAGCCTTGTACCAATGTTGTCTTCTCCTTACTTAGAAATAGTATTTAAATAAACTTGCTCCTTGTTTTAGTCATTGACTCACCCATTTTCCACGTTGCAGGTGGACTGTGCCTCTTTGCTTTAGCCACACTGGTACTAGACTGTTTAACACTTGGATATTACCATGAGCTGCATCATTGCACATCCATAGTGGTCACTTCATTTCCTATAGTCCAGGCCGTATTCACAGTCATACAGGTAGGTAAACTGAGCACAACAATTTGTCTTTTCCTGATACTTTATATAGAGTCTATAGAGAAATCAAAATCATATTTCAACCTAAGATACAATATGTACAACAAGAGTTTATAATATAGCAATAATAATACATTTAAATCACCTTACGTCAAGCCACAAAGACCCAAATCCAAATTTTTCATCAATTTTTTTGTTTTCTTTCAGGTCTCTCTGCTTTCATTTTATGCTAAAGTATGCATTCAGGAAAAACAGTCCCTGAACAGGTAGTGGCCAGAACCAAATGTACTGCAACTGAGGTTGTGTGCACAACCTCTAGCAACTTACTTATCTGATTTTAGTTAGTATTCTTCCCTGTCTGCGCTATCAGATTACCATATAAATTCTAACTTTAACATAGTGTGATCATATTGTGTTTGCTGGATAACATTAATATTTTACTAATTTGTTTCACTTGTTGCCTGAAATTGTGACATCATATACTGCATGTGTGATTTTAAGTTTACTACTCAATTTTAGGTTTATGTCATGTTAAATTACTTTCAAATCTAAGTCTTGTCTTGATTACAGGTTCGGTCTGATGCATACACTTGCTACAAATATATTAATGTGGATGAGTGTTGTCCTTGATGAGTCCATGAAACAGCTGGAAGAAATTTATGACATACAAAAAAAGAAGATGAATATCATTGAAAGTAAGATAAGATAAGATGGAGGAAGAGTATGGTAGCAGACATTGTGCCTTTGCTGCAATGGCTGGTGGGTGTGCTTTATTAATGTTATAATGAAGAACTTCAGCTGCACCTTACAAGGAATATTTATTACAAAGCAGTAAAAACGATATAAGTAATAACACATGATATAAAGGTATAAGGATGACTGAAGGATAATTGTTGAATGCACAAACATACTCATGTAATTCTAGTCTTCTTCAACTCTTTGGTTCATTTTTTTATTTCAAACAAAGCCTTACTAAAGGAATCATGTTGTGTGGGGCTTTGATATTTTAGTGTGATAGGTGATGTATCAGTAGAGTAAAAGGCCTGGAATATATATCCAAGGAAGCAACAAAGTTAGTAACCTTGAATGGTAAACGGCTGTACGGGGCCCCTGAATGCTCCTCTAAAACTTTTCTCTTCCATGATGGGGAGAATATCTAAGCATAAAATATCATATCAGTATGAACATCTCTGATCAGTGAGAAGCTTACAGTGCTCAAGGCAATCTATATTTTAGAGATGATGGTCTGACTGGACCTGGAAACTTCCATACATTCCTATAGAAGTCTCTTGCAGACGTGACACCCAGGCTAGCAAGAAATATGCAAGGTCTTGGACTGGTGTTATTTAGAACATGTATGATTCACTTCTGTTGTTTTTTCAGCTCCTGGGCAGCACACAAACAGCTGTGTCTGTACTACAGACCTCTGCCATATATTCTCTGAAGGAGCCGCTTACCTACACCCATTCAATATTGAGTTTAGCCTGTTCTCCTCAACAATGCTGTACGTTATTTGGAAGAACACAGGAAAGACAGCCCATATTTCAGCGGTTTCAGGACATACTAAGGGCACACTTCACATAAATGGAGCTTTTGTCGGGTTGATCTTGGGAGCCTTTGCTATTTCGGCAACATTTGGAGTCATGATTTCTTTTGGCGTCCTTGCCAAGTCCCCAACAACAGTTCCAGAAGCACTGCGCATCTATTATCTGTTTAACTCTGTACTCCTGTCTGTAATGTTCATCGCTTCTATGATTGGCATTGTCACCTGCAGACTTCAGAGAGGGTTTCTGTTTGATGACAAGTCCAAGAGCGTGGTAAGAAGTCTTGACATTACGCTTCTTATGGGAAGTTCATGTGGTCCATTACTGGTATCCGTGTTCTCCTTAGTGGCACTCTTCTTCCTGCACATAGAAGGGAACCTCTACATCCTGGATCTCTGCTTTTCTCTATGTAAAACCATCCAGGTGCTTGGTCAGAATCTTTTTATTACCGAGGCACTTTACTCTGAGCCAGCACAAACTAAATCCACAATAAGTGATGACAAGGTCTTCTTCATATCCCAAAATACAGAGATTGAAAGCACACAATGTGGAATAAGCAATGTGTCCAAAGTGTGTGGCCACAAGCTGTCTTTTTCAGAGAATGAAGCAAGCCCAAGAAGCTCTAAAGTTATGGCAGACCTATGTACAGACACCCCCAAGAATTTCCTGTCTAGAAGCATTGCGACAGACACTTCTCACACCAGACAAATAGTAAAAGAAGAGGGGAAGGAGTGCTTTTTCAGAACAAGAAGAAGGATTCTCCAAAACATCTCAATTCTTTTAATCTGTTACAATATATCGGTAAGCTGCATTATAAGCATACAATTAAAAGGATATTAGAAGTGATTACGTTTTTATTTGAAAGTATGAAAGAGAATGGCTAGGTGCATCAGGGACTTCTGTGAGACATGTTTTATATTTAAATAAAAGGACATTAGAACATAATACGGCAATATATCTTAGAGAAACAGTAGGAGGCAGTAGCAGATAAGGTAATTTACAACTCCAACTACTCCAGCCTGCATTGTTTTTTTTACCAATAACTATTGTACCAAAACTTCAAGTGGACCTGAAATAAAAAAAATGAAGATTTGCTTTGTTGTATGGAAGATCTAGAAATGTTAGTTGAGTCTGTGCAGTACTCCAAAAAAAATGTACCTTTTGTTATGAATTCAACTGAAAAATAGCAGTACCTAGGCACTTCTCTTCTATACAATAAATAAAAAAAGTTTTCCCGCAAGATTTCACCCCAAGCAGCTCCTGCAAAAATTTACCGATGGCGAAATTGGTGATTTTACGGCAAAATAAATTTAATTGCTGTCCGCTCTTGCTGTATTGCACTACTCTGCACATCCATTGTCATCTTTCCATCATCTGGTGATCCTGAAACACACCTGTGTGTGATGCTAGAATGACCCCATTGCTATCTCTCACACACAGAAAGCCTGATGTAAACAGAATGCCAATAATAAGAAGTTCATAAGCCACCAATCAGATTCAAACTTAGAAAGCCGAACAGAGAGCAGAAAAGAGAAGATACCCAGTATGGCTTTCAGGAATTACACTCCTACTGCCTTCCTACTGATCCTAATTGCAAATAAATCATATCAAAGTAAATTGAGTAAACTTTTTCTAATTTTAGCACAATATCAGTGTTTACTGGATAAGATTAGCAGCTTGCCACATGCCTTCCCGTGTTGCTTGATTAGCACATAAGCTCTAATAGTCTTTTGTACCAATGAAAGTAGTTATGTGACCTAAAGTCATAATATCTTGTTCTGTACCCCTCTCTGCAGGTCTGGATCCTCTATGCCTATGGTACCCGTCCACACTTGGTCAGCCAGATTGAACAGTCCTTTTATGGGTTCACTCTCTGGGTGATCGTGGTAAAGATCTCTCTTCCACTTGGGATCTTCTATCGCATGCATTCCGTGGCCAGTTTATTTGAAGCATATTGTAATATATGTGACGCAGCTGCCTACTGAACAATCTGGTCCAACCTTTCTCCAGCCTTGTCATTCCTGTCAGTGAGCCCTTCAATTTTTAGCATAATGACATCCATCACCTTTACAAGATAACTGATTTTAATCTCACTAACAAGGAGAAAAGCTGTATGATGCTGGAGACCTTTCATGCGGTATACAGATCATTGTTCCAATGACTTTCAAAGTAAAACTGGGACACCTTTATAATGTGAAGCTTGTGCATAATGACCACTTAGATTTTCATCCTAAACAAAGTATATCAATTATATAGTCTGTATCTGCCAGTTCTTGTAAGATATTTAAAGGGAATTTGAAGAGCATTTTTATTTTATACATCTAAGGCCTCATTCACACGGGAAACGGCCGGCACGTACAGCTCCGTGCTGCGTGCACGGCCGTATCGTGCAGCTCCCAGGAAGGACAGGTGCTGCGTGTGATTAGTACGCAGCCTCTGTCCTTCTCTATGGGAGTACGCAGCCGTACGCCGCCCTATGCTCACCTGCCCTGTATGTCCGTGCGGGTGAGCTTACTCGTGCGCTGACAAGATGGATCCTGTCTGTGTCCAAGCCAGGACACCCGCACGGACCTGCACTTGGGGTGTGCGTAAGGCGGCGTACGGCCGTGTACTCCCACACAGAAGGACAGAGGCTGAGTACTAATCACACGCAGCGCCTGTCTTTCCTGGGAGCGGCCCGATACTGCCATGCACGCAGCATGGAGCTGTACGTGCCGGCCGTTTCCCGTGTGAATGAGGCCTAAATGTTGTCAGCTTAAATAGTCATTCTGCTCAGAAGTGATATTTTAGTTATTTATTGTTCCTGTTTCTTACCAGGGGTGTCACTATCCTTTTTGCCACCTGAGGTAGCAGGGGGAGGCAGCATCCCATCAAGTTCCCAGCAACCAGTGACGTCACTGGTTGCCCGGAGCCTGGAAAAGTCAGCAAGAGCATCCTAGGTTGCTAAGAGCCAGACGGAGAGATGTTATGGCCCTTACCTATCTCCCTGCCCGGCTCTTAGCAGCCTGGGATGCTCTGACCAGAAAGTGGGCAGCAGGCACACAGCAAACATGCCGTTCTGCCTGCCGCTCCCCCATGTGACCCAAAGAGATGCCACCTGAGGTTGCTGCTTCGATATAGGGACGGTCCTGTTTCTTCAATGTTTTGCATACTCCAACAAAGCCTGGCTCCGTACCTGTCCACCTGGTGGTTTGGCATGGTCTGGCTCACCTCTGCATATTCAAGCACCTCCTGTTGCATTCTCCATAATATAAAATAAATACAAATTCCAACCGGGAGAGTGGGACCCCATTACGTTGGCCACAGCACAGTATGTACAATCATATGAACTCAAGTGCAGATATCACTACGAGTCCCTTAGAGAAATAACAAACTATCAGGTGCGTTCAGCATCTGCTAAAGATGGAAATCTTAGTTTGGGGTGGACAGGCCAAATAATCTTGGTAAAGTGTGCTATACCGTACTTAAAAAAAACAAGGGGACCTATTTATAACCCTGAATTCACCTGGTAACATTCTCTAGTAACATTTAGAAAAGCTTACCAGCAAATCTATCCCTATAGTAAATGACAAATCTAAGTGTGCGTGTGTGTGTGTGTGTGTGGTGTGTGTGTGTAATGTTAGCTTAGAGTAGGTTAGAGAGTGGGAACTGGTGACTTTATTATCTAAACTGAAACATTTTTCTTAGATTAGTTATAACAAACACTCCTGCTGAAATTGTGAGTGGTCCTGCCAATACCACCCAGCTCAAGAAAAGTCGACTTTTCTCTATGAAGTTGGGTGGAAAATTGCTGGCTGATCAGTCACTGCAGCCAATCAACTGCAGTTACTGTTCAGGTATTCTGACAGCAGCAGCTGTCAGAATACAATTATCCATCATGGGAGATTTCCCCATCCACACTGTTTAGCGTGGATGGGTGAATTGTGTGTATATGGCCAGCTAAAAGAAGAACTCCAGGCACAAATTTTCTTACAATTTTCTTGCCCCTGCACTGCAAGGGTTAAGTGCTTGTTTTTGTGTAGGGTGTAAAACAAAAAAAGTTATACTCACCTGGCCTTGCTCCCCATCTGATCCAGCGGTCTAAGGTCCTGTGAGTCATCACGTCTAATACAGAGTATTGGACATAAGGATGCCTAGGGACATTCCATCGTTGGAGCTGAGGGGGAAAAAGGCTGCACAGAACAGCATAGCAGCCAGCCGGCTCTGAGATTCAGGTGAGTATTTCTTTGTTATTTTTGTCTCTAGACAAAAATAAGCACTTAACCCTTGCAGTGCGGAGGTGGCCCCACTGCAAGGGTTAAGAAAATGTGTTCCCCGGAGTTCTTTTTTAAGGCAAAATGTACAGGCATGTAGTGCATTTCACCATCTGCCTGTAGTCCATATTATGAGTGTAAATCCTAGCTGCTGCAACATTGCTGCTGAAGAGACAGACACTCAATGAGCGTTGTCACCCTAGGACAGGAAGTTGCTGTGAAGTCTTCTATAGGCTCGAACACCAGGAAAAGCAAACCTGCTGAAAAAAACAATACACTAAAAACAGCCAATGAAGGGTAAGAATTTAATTTATGGGTTTAGAGTCCTCCCAAACAAGCCCAGTATCTCCATGAGTGTAGCACAGATATTAGACTGTGAGCTGAAGTGGTTGCTTGTACTTTATAAAGATCTGTGTAATATATATTTGTTGCTACTATAGAAATATGGGCAGTAATCATAACCCAGAATAAACGTCCTTTTAACAAGGAACTTTGGTTGCACAATTTTTTTTTGGGGGGGGGGGGCATGGTTAATATTATTGGTAACATTGTTAATGAATATATAATGTCAATTAAAAATATTGATAAAATGCTGTAATGTTACCTGTTTTACTTTTACATCACAAATTGGAACAATAAGTGTATTGCCTCCACTGAATGATTGCCGTGACTGCTCATGCCATGTGCCATTGATTTGACAAGAGCGTTCTTGAAGCACTGGCTGTGTTGTGCACTTTGTATTAGTGCGTCTGAGAATGCATTGCACTTGAGATCTTAGTGGGGAGTACAATGATTAATTCATTAGCCCCGAGTCACTCATCCAAGACACTGTAATCCAACTAATGGATAGGAAAAGTCACTGACACTCTGCTTACATTACCTCCTAGGGAAATCCACCCATTCAAACATCCCCTCCCAAACTTATTTGAATAGGGAACAATCCCGGCAAGTTTTTCATCAATATGGAGATTAAATGTGCCGTCTTTTTTTTTTTAATCTAACCCTGAGATGTCCCAATATCCTTGAAATTATGAGCTGACCGCAACCTAGCAGCCAGTGACACTGTGGGTCTACAGTGTCCTTCCAACCAGTGCTGCTGTGTGCCAACAGCGCCCTAGAAATCAGTGCCACTGTGGGCCAATAGCATGCTAACACCCAATGCCCAATGATGCCATGGGCTAACAGCATGCTAGCAACCAGTGATGCTGTATGCCCACAGTGCCCTAGCAACCAATGACACTGTGGACCGGCAGCGTCCTAGAAACCCATAATGATCTAAGCCAACCAGTAACAGGGGGGAGTTTTGCTTATCCCGGCTTAATCCAAAATCACATCGGTCTCAATTACCCTCATTTTTCGTAACCTTGAAATGGCGTAATTTTGTTAATGAATTTTCACAGCTATAGCAATAGCAACATATTAGAAAAGTGTCACAGATAAGAACTTTGTGAACCTGTTGCAAGTGTCTGCATTAACTATAGAACTGTCACAATCCTTTTATGAATTTGGGACAAGAGTTCTAGATACAGCCATGTCATCAGTTGAATGGATGTTGTTGCCTGCAGTTCTCCAAATACATCAGGTTTATGTCATGACCACTAGAGGGCGCTGACTGTGAGTCTCATCTCAGGTTAGTGATGTCATGGCATTCCGTGCACACAGGACATCAATAGATTATCCTCCTGCATGGACGGACATCCACCTACTGTAAGTGTGCTTTCCACCTGCATGCCATTCCTTTAACTTTGTTTCATTTCTAGAGATATGATCTTGTAGGAATAGACTTTTATTAGTGCATATGCAGGATTCATCTCGCCTATGCTGTGCTGCTTGCTCTCTCCCTATGACACCTGTATAGTAAAATATTATTAAACAACTCTAATATAATCCTTCATGTTTAGAATATCATAAAAAGCAGCTGATGGTATTTTGTTTCACATGCAATCCTGTGTATATCAGCAAAGTGTGATTGATTGGTCTGTAAACATTTGAAGAATTTACAAACTGAGATAAATGCTTGAGTTTTATGGGGTTTGTTTGGCATTTGTTATCTATTGTTGCTGCACATTGTAAAGGGATTGTGCCAGTACATTCTAGAGGCGCCTGATCTGGAGCTGAATATGAGAACTGATACACAGGAACTGAACAAAGCAACTGAACACTGGAGACTAGAAGAAAACTTTTTTCCCTTTAGCAGATATCTGCTCTTCTAATTCTGTACACTTCTAATTGTACACAGACTCAGCTCTGATACAAAGTATATTTGTAGAGTAGAAGGTTCTGGGGCCATCTGGCCGATATGGCGCAGAAGAGGTAGTGAAATAAGAGCTTGTGCAGACGGGTGTTGTTGCTACATTTTGTGTTTGCAGTGCTGCACAAATTCTGCGTTTCAATGCAAAACACAGACAATTCAGCATTTTACCTGCTGTGCCTGCAATTTATTTATTTATTCAAATACTGCCTTTGAAGACAAAATGCAGCCAATGCAGCATTTTACCTGCTTTGCCTGCAATTTATTTTTTTATTGCAGGTATTTTTATTGCAATAAACGCAGGACTTGACATACCATATTGTACATATTGTAAAAAAAAAAATGTATTTTTTTTTTAGTGATATACATATTTATTCTGTACGGTTCTGTAGGTGACCATTTTAGGTTGAAAGAGGCTAATAGCTGACTGTTGCTAAACACAAACGGGTTCATTTATAAATATAGGAATTTCCTATAGGTGCTAGTGCCGTGTGAATAGCATCTGTCCTGGCTATACATGGTG